GATTGGGCAAATATTTGGGATAGATTCTCTGCAGAAAAACCTGTTGGCTAGTTTACAGATTAAATTTACTAAAACAACCCCAAAACCAACCAGTCAAAAAACCAAAGATGGCATAATAGTGTATAGCTGATTTGAATTCTTTTAAGGTGGAAGGCAATGACTGACTAGACTATTCTATAGAAAACTACTGCAGATAAATAAAGTAGATGATAACATTCAGAGAACGCTCACTCATGGGAGTATCTGCAAACAATCACAGAGATTAATCAAACATTTTCTTGAGAGGAAAGAGTAAGTTCAGTTACAGCTAAACATGAAGAAACATCAGCATACAGAATGAGAGTGTAAACACATTGAAAGTCTAGAATTGGCACCTAGGAAGATCATTAGAGCAACTGAACAAAAGTAGCAGCGGTAGTTTTGTATTCTTCAAGAAAAATAAAACAGCATAGATACAAGCTTGAAAACACAGACTGTATCTGTGAAAAAAAAATGTCTGAAAAATAGGTGATGCTAACACTAGAGAGCAAAACAAACAAGAGCTTAACAGAAAAAAACCTGTAATCAAGTCCCCTTATCAGATCTCGTTCCTTCCAGAATCAAATGAGACTCCGTTTTTGCCAGCATAAAATTCAAAGCTACAGATCCAGCTACGTTCTGCAATTAGTGTCCGTGCCATGAAGGCTAAAACCTCTAATTAAAGTTTCAAGGAGAGCCCCACCCATCCGTGTAATAGAGAGGACTGTTGCATCTCTCAGTATCAAATGACAAGAGACTCAAGATGACAATCAAGTGTCAATTTATCCCGGAGAAAGTGTCTTTCACTCAGGCGGCTAGGCACTTTTAAAAAATGAAACCTTGAATGGTAAAACATGCTGAAGAATCTAACAAAATCTGAAGGAAGACACTAATCTGATTTGCCTGTCTCTGAACTGAGTGGAGAAAGAACCGGTATCCCTGCCAAAAGCAGAGCAAGTACATACCTGTGTGTATGTGTGTGCATGTCTCTGGAATGGACCTCAAATGAACCTTTTCATAAAATTCCACTTCAATGCACAGAAAGCATGACAGTGACTGTACGGAAGCTGCAGTACATACATCTATCAGAATAACAAGCAATATACCCCGCATACGCTCATAACCAGACAAAATATTCACAAATATGACAACATCACTTTAATCATCTGGCAACCCAGCAATCATCCAACTTTTGTCCTTTCTTTCTATCCCGACAGCTACATTCAGGAGCTCTTTGTCTCCCATTTTGATTATTGTAATTATCTCCTTCCTCGCCTCCTTAGCAGAAAAATTCCTCTTCTCCTCCAACACGCTATACAAACACAGCTACTAAGTTCATTTATTTTAGCTTTTTGGTCTAATTTGCACTCTCTTCCATTTGCCATAAAGGTGAAGCTTCCTGTTGGCAAGGCCACATTGTACTAACCATCTGGGAGTCCTCTTTCAGCTAGACCAGTAGTTTGTAATTTAATCATCTTCCTTATCTGCTCCACATTCACCTGAGTTTGTCTAAAGCAGACCTGATCTTTAGTATTTAATCGAGGTCGTGAACTGCCAGAAGACTCTATTTGAGTGAAATAGCTCATCAAGATACTATTAAATTATAGCTGGCAAATTAGGAAATGAACCAGAGACTGATGGACATTTGTAATTTATTAAGCCAAACTGTCTCAGCTGGTAAGGAGCAGAGGATGTCCCTTATCAGCTTGCAAACCATGCAAACCGCAGGATTTGTGCAAAGGTGTTCTGGAAGACTCTAGTCCAGTGTAGAAACATGATTTTGGGAAACAATTCTCCACTGGTACCCCCGCTGCAACAAACAGTCGGGCAGTGGAATAACATCCTTTGTTATTATGACAGTGCTATCATGAAAAACACACAGCTCTCTTCCCCCCACTCGACTCCCAGTGATACAGTAACTGAAGTCCACCATATAATTATTATTTCCAAGCAGTTTCCAGACTTCAGCTGTTTTGAGCTGTCATGGTGAGCTCATACCATTTGTTTGTTGTTCCTTGCTTTTTAAATGGAGGAGGTGGTTGCCAGGATGTGTAACGTGAGTTTTCAGAGATACAATATGGATACCATTCGCTCAGGCACTGTAAGTGCTTTGGCTCTAAATTCTAGGATGTTGAGATGAAGTCCCACAGCTTTCATGGTCAGACATTTCACACCTCTGTGCAGGCCAAGTGGGCATCTCTCCCTGTGCCTGCGACGAGAATCTGAGAAGAAGGTGGGACACAAGAGTCAGTATTCCCTTTTCTTGGGCTTTTCAGGTTCTAGCCACCGTATCAACTCCATGAGGACATGATGAGATGACAAAATATTCTTGTCCATCTGGTGCCTCTATGGGAAGCATATGGACTTGAGCCAAAGTTATAGGAGCCACAGCTGAAGGCTGGCATTGGATGTCATGTGCATGCTGACATATGGTATAATGCTCCAAGGCATGTTCATACCATAGTAGCAGGATTAGATTTTCTCTCATGTAGAAGCAATCATAGTGACAGGACCCCATCTTTGGGCAAGTGCTCACTAGCCTGGAACTGGTCATAGTTGATATGAACTCCATCGTTTGTGACTATAACTTTGGCTCCTTGTTTTAATATACTTCAGGAGAATCATCTGGATGAACAGCAAGCATATTCTAGGCTCGATGCCAGTGCCTGTCTCTGATCAGCTGGTCATCTACGTACGGACAGATGTGCATGTCCTGTCTCCTCAGGTGCACTGCTCCTGCAGTGAGGAGTCTGCAATGCCAGAGAGACTGAGCTTTGGTCCCACTTCTGAAATACTTCCTACCGGACAGGTAGATGACTACGTGGAAGTAGGCCATGTGTAACTCAAGAACCATAAAGCAGGCTTGACCACAGACACAGGAAGATGGGAGAAAGCATCACCATCCTAAATCTAATGTGACATATGTTCAGCTTCCCCAGACCCTCCAAGAGACACAGAGCCTCTTTTTCTTCAGAATAAAGAATATAAGGAATAGCAGCCTTGCCTGTATTTTGATGGAGCTGCTGTGATGAAGCTGCTTCATGCCCTCAACACCTAGAATGGAGATCTGTCCAGTGGAAGGAGGTGGAAGGCATCTTCTGCATAATTGCCTAGTTATTACAGTGCTTGCTTTTACAATAAAGGTCTGGATTTAAGACCTTTCTAAGTTTGCATCTGAACCCACTGCTGCCATTATGCAGGACAGTGCCAAAACCCTGAATAGCTTTGGACAGGGCTGCTCCCAGTTTCTCCTTTTGAAACTTGTCATAAAGGGATGCAAGAGCAGTGGTGCCAGAGAGAGAGAGAAGAGAGAAAGCTAGTGCAAGATTGCTTCTGATCTTGTTTATGAATTTTGTTTAGTTTCACTGAAAAAAACACCATACTCACAAGCAGACTCTAAACAGAGTTCCATAGCATCGTACTACAAATTTTCTTAAGTGGGTAAAGCATTTCCACCTGTATTTTGAGTTAAAGGCTGTGCAGAACTGCTAGACATTTATTTAGAATATAAACTAAAATCCAACTAATTTGAGATCCACCCAGCCAGTGTGCCTAACAAATCAAGGTAATTAACAATGGCTTAAGAGACAGAGGACTTTGTTCTATGAATAAAGCGATGTAAACTAGCTGTTTATTTTTAAAAAGCAAATACATGCAAATACGAAACCTATAACCCTAAAGGGCCTTTAACCCTTTCAAGACAGAATTGTACTGTAATACCTTGTTCTGTGCAGAACTGAGAGCACTAATTCAACGCTTCTGAATACTCCTGCAGGGTACAAAACATGGTATCTCTGTGCACACACACACACACACGCACAAAGCAGCTGAATAAGAAATTCAGGAGCACACGTAGAATGGTGTCCGAGCAAGATGCTCACACATTCACTTGATATACTGTAGCACATGGTGTAATCCAGCCCACTCTCAAAATGCTTTTATCTCATCTATTTATTTTATTTATTTCCTGCCAAGAGGAAATGGGATACACTGGTACTTCTACTTTGCTACGTTGACCACTTTCATGTACTTATATACATATTTATAGCTGGATCACTCAGTTTTCATACAGTGGCCAAAAGGAAACCATGTTAATTTTTAGGTTTTACTGCATATGCAATTATACGCGATCTTGCAAATACACAGTAAAAAGACATTATTCAACTATTCCAAGTCACTAACAATTCCATACATAAATTTTGAGTACAATTTTATGAGCCTGTAAAATCTTAAGTTTTCATCTTGGCTTTTTATTTTTGCAAATGAATCTGCTAATTCTGTCCTATACTGGTTTTTAATAGCTATCTGAAGACTGTAGCTGGCAATTTGACTATTCAATTATGTACTGGAATCCACTTCACTATGAGAATCTGAACATTTTCCCATAGTGGTAGCAACTATTAATTCCAAATGGCATCAGACTCCACATTTCAAAATATGTATTGGTACCACCTACTATCATACTCATAAGTCTGTTACTTATTTAAGGCTTATGAAGCCTCATTAAACAATTCCAGTTGAGTGAATCACTTTGACAATATCATGCATGAGATGAAACTGAAATAAAAAGTCAAAGTTCACATTTGACCAGTTAGTTTTGAAGCCGATTTTGAAACTACAATCTGCCTTATAACAAATATTTACTAATTTCTCTCAGTCCATGAGGCTTAAAAATGCATCACTGACATAATTTCATACCTCTCGGAATAAGATAGCATCTGTAATCCCTGTGGTACAAGACTGTTTACTTCTCTACAATTAGTGGATGCCTCCAAGCTACATCATTAATATGAACAATGCACTGGGGATGCACCTGCAACTCATCTGCTTGAGAATGAGAGGTTTTTTGCTTTTGCAATATCTGTACACACTCATCTTCTGCTGAAAGGGCAGTGCATTCCTCCTGCACCTTGGATTCCTTTCAGCCACAGAGTTCAAGGACATACAATCCTCTGAAGAACATGGGATGGCATGATGTGGATGTGCATAAGGACTGAACATCTTTAAGACCTCCCACCGCTTCTTTTTTCCTTTTGAGTGCCTGTTCCACTGCAGACCCTCCCAAAGCAGTGGCCGCACGAGAGACAGAGCTACAAGTCCCAGGAGAACAGAGACCGAAGAATGTAAATTCTCAAATACAGTATTTGATCCTGACATGGTATTTGCTTAGCTAGTTTCACTAGGAGGCCTATGGAGGGCACTTCTACTTTTGGGGGAGAAATGAAATGGAGATTGAAAAGTAGAAAGGCATTAGCAGAAACAAGGAGACTGCCATCTATAGCCAGGTCCTCCTTCTTTATGTAAGAAGAAATGAGGAAGGAACGCCCCAGACACTGCCTGTTTTCAGTGGAAGAGTCAACTCCGCTTCATCTTCCTCTTCAGAGATAAGAGAAGCACATTTTGTAACAATTCCAACTTTGACATTTTGATCTTAAGTCAGCAAGATATTTAAACACCTGCTTTGTGAACAGAATTATGTTGCTGATTCCCCAGAACTTTGACTTGAAATCTAAGAACCTCTTTTCTAACAAGAAAACCTTTAAGAAAGATACATAATATTCAGGAAAGTGGCAGGATCCAAGAACAAAATCTAAGTTCCCTACTGCTGCAGTAAAAATCTGATTGGTTCAGACTGTGCAATTGGTGTATGCAACATTAGTGATTGAACATTACTGCGAGAAAAGAGTCTACCTTGCTGCTGTGCTCATGCCGTAAGTATAAAACCGTCCCCTTCCTACCTGGTCAAGGAATTCAGATGTGTAAATGCCAGACGGAGTCTACTGTAGAGAACAAGTCTCTTCCTAGCTGCAATTAAACTTTACTCCTTTTCTTTATTTTGATGTAAACACATTTTATTCTCGCTTCCTGTTCCTATGGTGATTTGAAGTGAAGGCAGTAATCTGATTGAAAACACAACTTGTAATATTTCCTATTCCACGCTGAGAAAGATGAAAGCTCTTAAATTCTTGAAGGCACCTCTCAAATATAATTAATAAATCTATTCTGGCCAGGACAGCAAGATTTAATCTTCAAGTAGCAAAGGTCAGTTTACAGAAGGTGGGGAATGGAAATAAGGAGACAGTGCTGTCGACTGCAGAGGGAGTTTGTGAGAGAAAATAGCTGAAAACAAATAGGAAACCATAAAACATAAATCCATCCTTGGAGCGCTAATATATGAATGGAAAAATAAAGTATAATCCCTCTAATAAGCACAGTTCTTGCCAAATATCCATAATTTTGGATGGCTGCAAGAGTCTGCAATTTGGGTGCGCACAAAAAGCATGTATAACCTTGACCCCTGTGCTGAGCTCAATCTATTGCATCTGCATGATTTTCCCCAAACAAATCCATCATCTGCCCTGCTGGAGCACGCTGCTGCGCAATGCTGAGAAGCACAGTGGATAGCCAAGAAGAGTTATTAAGACAGAGGTTCCCAGCTTTGGGGTTTTTGTTTGTTTGTTTATTTGTTTTTTACATTACAGAAGATTTGGGATCTCCCTTCACTCTTATAGCTTAAGAGAAGGAGGCTGCTGTAAGCCCTTCTGTGCAGAGACGTGAGGGATATCTGCATGACACTCCCCTTGAGAACCAAAATCATCAACTGCAATAACTGAAAGCACAGGAAGCATCTACAACTAACAGGGAGGGATCTGCAGTCAGCAAACATGTCATTTTTGTTGTTTCTCTGTATCTACGAATGATTAAGGAAGATCAAGATACTTTTTTTTCACTGATAAGCTTCTTTCGCCCTTGTGCATCTGCTGACTGGAAGACATCCAGTGAATATCAACACTATTTTGAGCAGTATTAGGTTAAAGATGGAGAAACTAAAGCCGCGTTGACAGAAAAATTAGGTACCTAATTTTCAGAAATTCTCCTTAAAAACCATTATGTGGCTGACTCCAGAAAGATTTAAAAATTGTGGGGAAGGACCTCAACATCGTTCAAGGTTACATGTGACGTACTGCCCCACAACATGTTTCAGATTGCAGCAGGCTATAGATTTGAAATATATAAATGGAAAAAAAAAATTAAAACACGTTGCTCTATCACATTAGTACAACCCTCTGTAAAAATCTTACTCACTCTAAAGACACTGGACAAGTGGATAGAATTCAGTACCTGAGAAGCAGTCAAATAATATATCTAGGTTTTCACTTCTTTTTTGTAAGTGAAATGTCCCTTTCAGTGCATTTAAAGTAAAATGTAACTATAAAAGAAGCCACATGTTCAATGACAACCCGGTAGTACTTAAATACAATAATGAATATCACAGCAAAACTTCAGGATGATTTAGGACAATCTGGGCTCCCAATTCATAGACACCAACCTTCAGAACACAACCAGAGGCAGAAAGTTTTGGAAAAAGACACATTTTTCTCACTGGGAAACTTACGCTAAATAATAATCTGTTCCCATTAAGTCAATGTTTTTTGCTTCTGACTTGAATAGGAATATGATTAAAAGGACTACATAGAAAGAATAGATGAAATCCTGATTAAAAGCTGTTTTATTCAAACCTCTTTGCAATAAAAACCCCTCAAACCAGAAAAACCATTCTCACAGCACAATGGTTTCAAAAGAGTATGTAAAAAATAAATGTATATAAACCCCATCAATGTATTATATAAGTGTGGCATTATAGACTACTAGTGCAACTCCATTATTTTTATAGAAAAATTCTGTTTTACATTAAATTTGCTTTAAAAAAATTAATTTTTCAGGTATATAATTTAAATTTGCCAGGTTTCTTAAAAAAAAAAAATCTTCAAATGTCTATAAATTATTTAGAGTGACTTTTTTGATATTAAGCTTCCTAGTTCAGCCAAATAACTTACTGAAGTTGTCATATGCTACTACGGTATCAAGTTCTGCCCTGAGATCTGCACAGGCAAATGCCTAAAAAATTGAACTGCTAAGTTTGACAGTTTGAAAACCGGATTGGAAGATGGTATGCTTGCAGCTTCAATTAATTCCTCAGAACATGTGTATGTGACTGTAGATCCCTCTGTGTCAAGTTGTTGGGTTTTTTTAGAGGAGTTTAAGCCCAGGTAAGGAATGACTAGCACATAATTAGCTGAAAAGCCACAGATCTTCAGGCAATCTAGTAAGCATGAATTACTGCCAGCTTAGCTAAAACAGCTTGTACAAAAGTCTGTGTGCTGCAGGTATGTAAGCAATAGGAAATGGTTGTCTCATTGCATGAGTTTTACACATCTTCCAGCTTTCTAATTGATCTGAATGGTACGTCTAGCGCTCAGAGGCATCTTGCATAAACGACTTACGATCCACAGAAAAAAGGATTTCACTCATTCATCTGTGTAATTTTACACATTTGGTAGGTTACTAAACAATTATATTCTTCATTAATTAATCATGCCAGACCATAATATGTTCACCATTTCTATGAACAGGTGCGTTCCATGAACTTATTACAGCTACAATTGGGAATAAATCGTGTACCTGGCCTGTGGCTTGTTTGAGTTTCCAGCAGCAGTATGTTTCTTGGAGGTAGACTGAGCCTCATTGTCATTTTCTACAAAGCAGTATCAGGCCAAAGAGCCATAGGAAAGCATATTCTTACCAGTTTGAAGGAAACCTAACTGCTTTTCCACCATCAGGTGCAACCCAATTAGATCCTTTTTCGTCCTTCAATCAATAAGCATGTAAGTAACTCATAATTAATGGGAATACTCATGTGAATAAAAGCATCCATAGGATTATGTGACTGTAGGATTAGACCATATGTAAAAACCAATGGCTTTGGGAATGTGTTAATGTATTTACTAGTACATATTTTCATATAGTAAATTCAATCTAGATTATCATATATAAGCTACAAATTCTATTTATAAAACCAGTGTGGTATGGGCACATTTAAAGTGTGCGGAAAGTACTTTGAAACACACGTGAAGATTCAAGAGAAAACATGACACATACATGTGGTTTTTTTCTTAGACACAACATGCAAAATAAAAATCTACCTTTAAATTTTGGTATTAGTTGAAATTAGGACAAAAGGCAGAACAGACTTCCTACTGAATACCAATGTAAATGCAAGGGAAATGGAAAACAAATGGATAACAGAACACTATAAAAGCAAAAAGGGCACAGTACAAGTAAACACAAGTTGATATTATTTAATATTATGATGATAGAGAAAGGAGTAGGTTTACTAACTTACCCTCATCTTTGCACACGCATCCTGTGTTGACTCTGTGCCTCTTAACTCTTTTACCAGCATAGAACCTAAATACTAAAATAAAAATCCATTAAACTTAATTTAACTAAAATTCCAGAACTGACAAACATCTGCAGAAATGCACTAAAAACACTTCAAAAAACATAGTGGTAGCAGCCAACTTAATATATTGCTTTAGAGTTTTTCTTACTCTGCAGTTCTCTGATAAATCATTTAAACCAGTGTGTTAATCAGCCTATGAAACAGGAATGCACAGCAACAAGTGTATTGAATCAGATGGAGCCCTTTGAAATGATATCTGAAAGTCTTCTAGCTTATCACCTCAGTCACTCAAACAAGCAAATACAGATTCCATCTTAAAAAAGCCATTTGATTAAAAAATGGAGAATCTGCTTTTTTTAGCTGCCATCTGCCAAACTCACATTGCTATGTGTGCAATCACGTGGACATGAAGGCCAGCAGCAATGTTAACCTCTGTGTACTCAATCTGTAACTAATTTATGTACAAATAGCAGAGCCCAATGTCAGCAAACAGAGAAAATAAATCTGAACCGAAAACTAGTTTAAATCATTATTTCTTCGCAAGAAAAGGTTGACCTTGAACTATTATTTTGAAGCCTTTACTGATCTGAAGGGGGGGCTGGGTGAGAGGGAGCAGCAGGGTGCTGGTGCTGGGGCCTGGCTCAGCTCACTGAAAGCCACCATGCTCTCAGAGGAGCCTGCTCATCTCCAAGGGTCCACAAGGCAGCAAGTGCCTCACTGACACATCCCCTTTCCAACCTGCCCCTTCCTCACTATGTCACTTGCTGGCACCTGCAGTTTGAGCCCTCCTGCACCCTGACAGCAGGCTCTGCTCCTCTGGATTTGTTCCTCTGGAGTCTCAGTGCCTCTCTACACCGTGTTTGCATGGTGCTGCCCCTCCAGGGATGGAGCTGGCTGTATCATCCCTGCTGTTCTCGCCCAGCAGCAAGCGGTCTTGTTACTGCTAACAGGGCTGTGCAAGAGCCATGCTCTGCGTTTCTCCTGTAGATGCTACAGGCGTGTGCATTTGTGGATGTGCACATGTTTGTATAGCTCTGTGCAAACAGGATGTCACTGTATTTCTAGATAGTGTCACAGGCAAGTCTGGCTTAACTGGGAAAGAGGACAACAAGCCATCCCTTGTCTTTTCCTCCCCATGCAGAGATGTCTCTCTTTGCATTCTCACTGCAGCACAATGCCATGGCTTCTCTTAAGCCTTCGGTCCTAAGTGAGCAACACGGGAGCTGAAGAGAAGTCATGCCACTGACAGAAAGCGCCATGGGCAGGAGGTTCTTCCAGGAGGATGTTGCAGCCCACCACTGCTGCCTGACCCCTTCATTCTACCACACTGACTCCCCTTGGGAACAGTCTAAGCTGACCCAACCAGATAGTTAACTAGCTTCATCTTAAACAAGAACCTATCAAAAATAACTTCAGTTACAGCTGAACGCAAGCTGGAAGAAAAGTGAACAGAACAGAACAGAAAGTGTACTGGTTCAACTCTCTGGTCTGCTGACCTAAACTAAGATATTTTCTTGAAAGCCTTCAGTTCACACTGTGTACCGCAGGAGTCTCTGACTTGCAAGAAAATGCATAAATATTTCAATGTAGACAGTAGCCCAGATGGTAATTAGTGAGAAACACTTTACAAGGCATTATAAATGGAAGGGTGAGCAACACCAACACTACCAGATAAGCACAAACAGAAAGGAACGAATGAAGGGCATTCCT